CGTCTGTATGTCAGTCTGTGCAAGCAGTCAAAATAAAAGTTCGCAGATGAGCGTAATTGGACCACTGTCAAGCCCTTAGGCGTGGCACCGCCACGTGAAAAGCTGTATCTCAGAACCTACTCGACGGATACACCAAATTTGGTRTKTTATATTATTTTGACATTTCTATMTTCCAGTATGAAAAKAACCCAATTTTAAATTCCATCAAMAAARCMAGCRCCAATGAATGTGTTGGGACAAAACTTTGCCTGMATAGTGCCTTTAAAGAGTGCCACTTTATAATCAAAAAAATGTCCAAATCGGACCATAACTGTTAAAGTCCCCAGCTAAGAAATATGTGGAGAAAATTTCCAATTGCGAACTTTTTAGAGAATATATCGGTAAATTTGTGTAGTATAATGGTACATAGAATTTCGGAGAGAAGCATTTCCTCTATATCAAAAATGCGTTAAATCGAATCAATAATTTCTTTAACCCCCCATAGAATTTTCGAACTTCCAGTTGACTTTATACCATACATGGCGGCTRGTATGTGAGCCAGCTTAATAAAATAAAGGGAATGTGTGTGTGTGTTTTTTTTTTTTAATAGCAAGTTACAAGACTATGAAGTCGTTTACACCCGCACTTAGCGCTTCCTTACTTGTTCATGTCTGTATTTGCTATGCGCATAAGTATAATTTTATTATACGAGTATGTTAAAAGAGATTTACAGCTGAAAAAGTAAGCTGCTTACAMAAAAGAAGTAAAATTTATAAATATGAAATCTTCAAAGCTTTTTAGCCATTTATTTGTGCTTTGTTTTAAGCCTTGCATAGCACATAATCGTCAAATTCCTTTCAATTTTCAATTCAAATCATCTGTTCTGATTTCAATTAACGCGAAAAGTTTGCAATTCCACCAAAAGAGTACAGCTGTTCTGCGAGACTAATTAATTAGCCAGCGTCTTGCTCGCCGCCAGACAACAGGGCGGGTAAATCTATTGAAACGCCCCAAATGAAATCATCGCAAACGCGAAGAGAACAATAACAAGCAAATCTACTAATGCCCGTGCATAGATACTGTACTTTTGCTTGTACATATATATGTGTGTGTATATATGTAAGAGTACACTTGGGTCTATAAAATAATTTATTTCAGTCAATAATCTTTTATCGCGAATCGCAGCATTTTCATTTTAATGCCAAAGCAATTGTGTCATAACACGCATTTAACTGGAATCTTTACGGCATGGATATTTGCAATAACAATAATTAGTATAAATACGAAAGCTATTTAGCGGGTGTCTTTTTARATGWGTGTAATTTTTTTTTKTTTTTTTAAATGAAACATTTAAAGTTGTTTGAGCGACATATAAAGTGTGTTCCCTACTAATTTAAAGCAAAATCTTGGTCGATCCGACTTTAGATTTTTAGTCCCCACAGAAAAAAGTCTAACGGTGTGATATCATACGATCTTGGTTGCTAATCGACCGGCCCAAAAACGTGAAATTAACTGCCCACCGAAGT